TGTGTCTGTATGTGAGGGGGAGGGGTACCGGGTGTACTCGGCGTGTGTCTGTATGTGAGGGGAGGGGAGGGGTACCGGGTGTACTCGGCGTGTGTCTGTATGTGCGGGGGAGGGGAGGGGTACCGGGTGTACTCGGCGTGTGTCTGTATGTGAGGGGAGGGGAGGGGTACCGGGTGTACTCGGCGTGTGTCTGTATGTGAGGGGGAGGGGAGGGGTACCGGGTGTACTCGGCGTGTGTCTGTATGTGAGGGGAGGGGTACCGGTTGTACTCGGCATGTGTCTGTATGTGAGGGGGAGGGGAGGGGTACCGGGTGTACTCGGCGTGTGTCTGTATGTGAGGGGGAGGGGAGGGGTACCGGGTGTACAGTCTGTCTTGAAAGTACCGCAGCATGGCAGGGTGGCGCTGGTGGGCTGGCGCAGCGGAGGGCGGTCAGGTTTGAGGGCCACTGGATCGCCTGACCCTTGGGGGGAAGGGAGGGGAGGGAGGGAGGAGAGGGGTGGGCGCGAGTGAGCGGGCTCTCGATGCTGCCAGTGCGGCAGACAAGGCGCTGTTTTATGAATACGTTATACAGAGACACCAGCTAAGCGTAGTAATTCTCTTCCTGACATGAAAGTTTTGATAAATGGAAAGTGAAGCTTCCCTTTCGAGCCTCGCCAGACATTTACGTGTCACACTTGTAATCCGGCCAGAGGGCAGCGGGTGCAGCCTCCGTCGTTTCGCTCAGATTCAGCTAGGGCTTCCAGAAAGTTGTGTGCGTGGTTACGAGACACACATTGAGAGTATTGGCTGCTTTATAGCGTCCACTGATAGAAATGGTGCGTAGGAACCCGCCTTACAGCCGTTCGGCTCCTGATCGGACATGTGAAATGATCAGGTCGGCCCTGATCATTTCACGTGCTGGGACCTGATGTTTCAATCACAAAATGCCTGGAAACGCGTAGATAATATGCGCTGACATGCATGGAATCGGCATTTTGGCCTGACATGGTGTCGAGAAGGAATTTAGGGGTCAAAGGTCATTGGGTTCAGGGTCATTTTCAGGAAAGATATAACATTGATCAATTCGAGGATATTGAAAGTTTTGTCGTTGTCGGTCGGTCGGTCGTATTTTACGCGAGTTATTCGTGAAAAAGCCGTGAGGAACCTCCTCCTGTAAGTGTGAAGGTTAAGATCTCAGGTCAACCGGTGATCTCTCGAGCATTCTTTAGAGCCGGCGAGCATTATAACTTTTCCTGAGGCTAGGACACTATAATGTAACCTAAGCGACCCGACCTTAAAAGATCTGGGTCTGATTCATTCCGCCATCAAAGTGTTTAAAAAAGATGCAATATCAGGTATGTGTGGAGGGACGTTGCAGCCCCCCCCCCCCTTCCCCCCAACGCAGCAGTGTGCAGAGAGCCTGCTTTGTGAAGCAATAAATCTAGCCAGCTCCTTTGAAGCCGAAAATATAAAGGAAAAGGGTTCTGAGTCGCGACGGCGCTGTTCCGACTGCAACTCCAAATCTGACTTCGGCCTGCTGATCGGCTCCGACTCCGACTCTGACTCCGGACCAGTGCACTGCCATAAGCATAAACGTATCACTTGCCGGTACAGGGATTGACGCAACTCTTCCGGACTGCTTTTGGTAGCTATTTTAGACTCTGCAACATTTGTTGGAGTCCGCTAAAATTTCAGCATCTTGTGGAGGGAGAGGGAGAGAGAGAGAGAGAGAGAGAGAGAGAGAGAGAGAGAGAGAGAGAGAGAGAGAGAGAGAGAGAGAGAGAGAGAGAGAGAGGGAAAGAGAGAGAAGAGAGAGAGAGGAGCTTTGATAGATCATTAAACGAATAAAATTCACACCATACAGCCTCGTATGATCTCAACTCTCATCTTGATTCTTGAACTGAACAGTGAACAGTGAGCACTCAGGAACTGAAGATTAATATGCCGCTACCTGTTAATACCCATAATCTCAGTGACCTTTTGGCATAAATCTGCATACCCCGTGTTTGGTATACGATTATCAATCCTCTACCTAGAAGTAGGCGCTGCGAACAATTGCTTGGCCAGCCGATCGTAAAATGAAAATATTTGCCGGTAACTTTTATGTATAGGAAATAAGGAGTATAATGTGTTAGTTATTTTGTGATGTTTTTTTATGTAGCAGCCATTTGCCTTCTATAGTGTTTTTTTTTTGCATGATAATGATTATACTTCTAATAAGATGGAATAGTAATCTTTGGTACATAACTAAAGGAAGACAAAAACACAAGTGTAGGATTTGCTTTGGCTTCCTTTAGTTATGAGCAATAGGTTACCATTCCGTCTTACTTCCATTGGCTTTCGCTTAAATACTATTTTGTTTCAATCTCAACAATGGCGGTGAGAATGGGAGTTTTTTTTTTAATTTTTATCTCGCATAAATAAATACGAAACAAATTACTTTATCCTAAGTTACTGGATCAATCGATCAGATTTAAACCCATAGTTAATCTGAGATTTTCGACAAACTACTGCGTTGACATTGTTCTGTTGTTATTCACATTGTTATTTCAGTTTTATTACATTTATTCTGTTCCGTTCCATGATCGTAAAGTATTGTTCATAGTGAATATGTGTCATGTTCTGATAACAATGCAAGTAGTCGCGCTCAGCCTTTAGATTGGCTTCGTCTGTCTTTTCGTCGAGAATAAAACGGTTCCAAGGGTGAACCGGCCACCGGGGGATCGGCCGGGCCGGTCAAGTTCTCCACTCGTGCTCGCAGACGGCCCGTGCCCCCGGGCGACAGGCGCCGCAGCGGGGTGGAAAGAGTAAGGGAGAGCGGCACCGCACGCGACCTGCCCGGTCACTCTCTCCTGGCTCACTGCCGTCACGTGCTCTGGGGCTCTCAAACCACCGAGCTCCCGACCTTTAGTTCGCCGGGCCGCCGCAGCCCATGCTGCGGTACTTTCAAGACAGACTGTACTCGGCGTGTGTCTGTATGTTAGGGGGAGGGGTACCGGGTGTGCTCGGCGTGAGTCTGTATGTGAGGGGAGGGGAGGGGTACCGGGTGTACTCGGCGTGTGTCTGTATGTGAGGGGGAGGGGAGGGGTACCGGGTGTACTCGGCGTGTGTCTGTATGTGAGGGGAGGGGTACCGGTTGTACTCGGCGTGTGTCTGTATGTGAGGGGGAGGGGAGGGGTACCGGGTGTACTCGGCGTGTGTCTGTATGTGAGGGGGAGGGGAGGGGTACCGGGTGTACTCGGCGTGTGTCTGTATGTGAGGGGGAGGGGAGGGGTACCGGGTGTACTCGGCGTGTGTCTGTATGTGAGGGGGAGGGGTACCAGGTGTACTCGGCGTGTGTCTGTATGTGAGGGGAGGGGTACCGGGTGTACTCGGCGTGTGTCTATGTGAGGGGAGGGGTACCGGGTGTACTCGGCGTGTGTCTGTATGTGAGGGGGAGGGGAGGGGTACCGGGTGTACTCGGCGTGTGTCTGTATGTGAGGGGAGGGGAGGGGTACCGGGTGTACTCGGCGTGTGTCTGTATGTGAGGGGGAGGGGGAGGGGTACCGGGTGTACTCGGCGTGTGTCTGTATGTGAGGGGAGGGGAGGGGTACCGGGTGTACTCGGCGTGTGTCTGTATGTGAGGGGGAGGGGGAGGGGTACCGGGTGTGCTCGGCGTGTGTCTGTATGTGAGGGGGAGGGGAGGGGTATTGGGTGTACTCGGCGTGTGTCTGTATGTGAGGGGGAGGGAAGGGGTACCGGGTGTACTCGGCGTGTGTCTGTATGTGAGGGGGAGGGGAGGGGTACCGGGTGTACTCGGCGTGTGTCTGTATGTGAGGGGAGGGGAGGGGTACCGGGTGTACTCGGCGTGTGTCTGTATGTGAGGGGGAGGGGAGGGGTACCGGGTGTACTCGGCGTGTGTCTGTATGTGAGGGGAGGGGTACCGGTTGTACTCGGCGTGTGTCTGTATGTGAGGGGGAGGGGAGGGGTACCGGGTGTACTCGGCGTGTGTCTGTATGTGAGGGGAGGGGAGGGGTACCGGGTGTACTCGGCGTGTGTCTGTATGTGAGGGGGAGGGGAGGGGTACCGGGTGTACTCGGCGTGTGTCTGTATGTGAGGGGGAGGGGTACCAGGTGTACTCGGCGTGTGTCTGTATGTGAGGGGAGGGGTACCGGGTGTACTCGGCGTGTGTCTATGTGAGGGGAGGGGTACCGGGTGTACTCGGCGTGTGTCTGTATGTGAGGGGGAGGGGAGGGGTACCGGGTGTACTCGGCGTGTGTCTGTATGTGAGGGGAGGGGAGGGGTACCGGGTGTACTCGGCGTGTGTCTGTATGTGAGGGGGAGGGGGAGGGGTACCGGGTGTACTCGGCGTGTGTCTGTATGTGAGGGGAGGGGAGGGGTACCGGGTGTACTCGGCGTGTGTCTGTATGTGAGGGGAGGGGAGGGGTACCGGGTGTACTCGGCGTGTGTCTGTATGTGAGGGGGAGGGGGAGGGGTACCGGGTGTACTCGGCGTGTGTCTGTATGTGAGGGGAGGGGAGGGGTACCGGGTGTACTCGGCGTGTGTCTGTATGTGAGGGGGAGGGGGAGGGGTACCGGGTGTGCTCGGCGTGTGTCTGTATGTGAGGGGGAGGGGAGGGGTATTGGGTGTACTCGGCGTGTGTCTGTATGTGAGGGGGAGGGAAGGGGTACCGGGTGTACTCGGCGTGTGTCTGTATGTGAGGGGGAGGGGAGGGGTACCGGGTGTACTCGGCGTGTGTCTGTATGTGAGGGGGAGGGGAGGGGTACCGGGTGTACTCGGCGTGTGTCTGTATGTGAGGGGGAGGGGAGGGGTACCGGGTGTGCTCGGCGTGTGTCTGTATGTGCTCGCGCACTGATAACGGAGCGGGGACCGGTATTGGAGCCCGGTGTGTTGATGAGGGCCTGGAGTCGTGCCGTGCCCGCTCCCCAGCGGTTCCCGACCCAGTCCTCTGGGACGGTCCTCCGGCCGGCGGTGGTATTTAGGTACCGCGTGTCTGACAGTACCCCTCACTGTGCCACAGAGGCGGAGCGGTGGCACCCGGATGTGATCCGACTCTCGGTCTGGGAGGACGGCCGGCGTCTCTCCGAGCTGCTGGTGGACCCCTACGCCAGGTGGGCCACCGGGCGAAATGGCGCGCAGTCGGGGATGGCAACCAACTACCGCCCGGCGCTCCCCTCTTCACAGCTCCGAAATGCTGCGCTCTGACCCACTGTGACCCGCCCTGTGAGCCGCTCTGTAACCCGCTCTGACCCACTGTGACCCGCTCTGACCCACTGTGACGCGCTCTGACCCACTGTGACCCGCTTTGACCCGCTCTGTAACGCGCTCTGAGCCGCTCTGACCCACTGTGACCCGCTCTGACCCGCTCTGACCCACTGTGACCCGCTCTGACCCACTGTGACCCGCTCTGACCCGCTCTGACCCACTGTGACCCGCTCTGACCCACTGTGACCCACTGTGACCCGCTCTGACCCGCCCTGTGACCCGCTCTGTAACCCTGTGACCCGCTCTGAGCCGCTCTGACCCACTGTGATCCGCTCTGAGCCGCCCTGTGACCCACTGTGACCCGCTCTGAGCCGCTCTGACCCACTGTGACCCACTGTGACCCGCTCTGAGCCGCCCTGTGACCCACTGTGACCCGCTCTGACCCACTGTGACCCGCTCTGAGCCGCTGTCTACCGCCCAGTGACCCGCTCTGACCCACTGTGACCCGCCCTGTGACCCGCTTTGACCCACTGTGACCCGCTCTGTAACCCACTCTTACCCGCTCTGACCCACTGTGACCCACTGTGACCCGCTCTGTAACCCACTCTGACCCGCCCTGTGACCCGCTCTGAGCCGCCCTGTGACCCGCTCTGACCCACTGTGACCCACTGTGACCCGCCCTGACCCGCCCTGTGAGCCGCTCTGACCCGCTCTGACCCACTGTGACCCGCTCTGACCCGCCCTGTAACCCACTGTAACCCGCTCTGACCCACTGTGACCCACTGTGACCCGCTCTGACCCACTGTGACCCGCCATCTGCCGCCGCCGCAGGGAGGGCAAGTCGTTCCCGCTGGGCGCCGGCTGGACTTTCACCGGACGGCACCGCAGCGCCATCTGCGACGCCACGCCCATCTCCTACCTCAACTTCAACTTCCCGCCGCCAGGTGGCAGTGGCCTCAGCTTCCGAGACGTCCAGACGCTCTTTGAGAAGGTCAGTGACCCGGTGTACGGAGGGAGGGGGAGGGGGGGGGGGAGGTCGGCGCCGGCTCACTGCCGGAGCTGTGAACTGCCATACCGGGCCCTCCGTCATAGGCGGCGGAACGATTTGAGACAAGGGGGACACCAGCTCAAGGAGCCAAACCTAGGGTACCCCCAAATCCTGTTTTCTCATCGGATTTAGGCCACTTATTTTTCGTCACAGCCCTGACACGATGATTTTTTTTACTAAACGAAAATGGCAGTTCACCCCCGTATGTGTGGTCAACTTTAAGCTGATCCTCAAGTACCTATGTGTTTGTCTCTTCCTTATTCTCGTTTGATAAATTCCATTAATCCTACATGTATCAAATTACCCAGAAGCCATCGCAGTACTAATCAGTGGCGAATCCCAGGGTGGAGGTCACATGGGTCATGACTTAGGGCCTGGGGTCACCACATGCCTGCCAGGAGCACCACAGGCCTGACAGCCGACAGGGGCACCACAGGCCCGCCAGGGGTACCACAGGCCTAGCAGGGGCACCACGGGCCTGTCAGGAGCACCAGAGGCCTGCCAGGGGTACTATCGGCTTCGCAGGGGAACCACCGGCCTCGCAAGGGCACCATGGTCCTGTCAAGGGCACCACTTTAGGATTGTCAGGGGCACCACAAACCTGTCAAGGGCACCTGCGTTCTAACAGGGTCACCACAGGCTCGCCAGGGGCACCACAGACCTGCCAAGGCCCAGGGACACCACAGGCCTAGCAAGGACACCACAGGCCTGTCAGGGGCACCACGGGCCTGTCAGGGCCCATGGGCACCTAAGTCATGTGCAGGGCCCACCGTAGGCTTGTCAGGGGGCAGGGTAGGTAGGTACCACAGTCTTTCCAGGGGCACCAGCGGCCTAGCAGGGGCACCAGTCATCACACGACTAACCAAAAATAAAGAAAATAAAAACCTGAAAATAGGGCACCATCAAAATTAAGTGGCCGAAATCCGTTGAGGTTTTAATTTTGGGTATATAGGTAGAGGCACCACTTCGATTCACGACCCTACCCTTGGAGTTTTCCCGAATCTGCCCCTGGTACTAATACCTCAAATTTAAGGGGGGCCCTTGCTATTGGTGCCCCCCTTGCAGAATTCAAGGGGGCACGGTGCCCCGGTGCCCCCCCCCCGTTCCGCCGGCCTATGCCCTCCGTAATGCAGTACACCTACTGACACCGCCTGCATGGCACACCGGCCAATGGCTACTGCATAACACTGCACACCAGCCTTCATGGCACACCGGCCAATGCTACTGTATAACACTGCACACCAGCCTTCATGGCACACCGGCCAATGCTACTGTATAACACTGCACACGAGCCTGCATGGCACACCGGCCAATGGCTACTGGATAACACTGCACACCAGCCTTCATGGCACACCGGCCAATGGCTACTGGATAACACTGCCTTCATGGCACACCGGCCAATGGCTACTGCATAACACTGCACACCAGCCTTCATGGCACACCGGCCAATGCTACTGTATAACACTGCACACCAGCCTTCATGGCACACCGGCCAATGCTACTGTATAACACTGCACACGAGCCTGCATGGCACACCGGCCAATGGCTACTGGATAACACTGCACACCAGCCTTCATGGCACACCGGCCAATGGCTACTGGATAACACTGCCTTCATGGCACACCGGCCAATGGCTACTGGATAACACTGCCTTCATGGCACACCGGCCAATGGCTACTGTATAACACTGCCTTCATGGCACACCGGCCAATGGCTACTGTATAACACTGCACACCAGCCTTCATGGCACACCGGCCAATGGCTACTGTATAACACTGCCTTCATGGCACACCGGCCAATGGCTACTGTATAACACTGCCTTCATGGCACACCGGCCAATGGCTACTGTATAACACTGCCTTCATGGCACACCGGCCAATGGCTACTGGCCACTGTACACTGCACACCGGAGGCGTCATTTCCGACACCCAGGCCGCCCTGAGTAGTCTTTTGTAATGATTTACTGAAACGAACAGTGCTTCATGGACACAACAATCGAATGTTTCAGTGTATATTTTTATCGATGACACTTAAAAATAGCTCGCTTCAAAGTTCAGTGCAATGAGTTAAGTTCAGTCCCCCCTCCCCCTCGGTCGACCGGCCTTGGGCGCTGCCCTGCGTCTGCCTGGTTCCCGGCCGCCGGCTGCCCCGGTCGGGTCAGCACAGGCTGAACACAGGGAGCAGCCCTGGACAGTGGACACGGCCGGCGGGCTATGCTACCCGAGCTCCGGCGGCAGAGAGTGAATCAACGACACGGGCCGGGTCCGGCGGCCGGCGCGGCGCGGCCGGGCAGAGTGGCGGAGGTGCCGGGCAGAGTGGCGGAGGTGCCAGAGTGGCGGAGGTGCCGGGCAGAGTGGCGGAGGTGCCGGGCAGAGGGGCGGAGGTGCCGGGCAGAGGGGCGGAGGTGCCGGGCAGAGTGGCGGAGGTGCCGGGCAGAGGGGCGGAGGTGCCGGGCAGAGTGGCGGAGGTGCCGGGCAGAGGGGCGGAGGTGCCGGGCAGAGTGGCGGAGGTGCCGGGCAGAGTGGCGGAGGTGCCGGGCAGAGTGGCGGAGGTGCCGGGCAGAGGGGCGGAGGTGCCGGGCAGAGGGGCGGAGGTGCCGGGCAGAGGGGTCGTCTGACGCCCCAGACAGATGGCATTGTTCTGCTGGCACGCTGGGAGGGGGAGGGGAGGGGAGGGACACACACTACACAGCCAATGGCGGCAGGGGAGGGGAGGGACACACAGCCACTCTCGGCCGGGGAGGGGGAGAGGAGGGGAGGGACACACAGCCAATGGCGGCATGAGAGGGGAGGGGGGACACACGACACACAGCCACTCTCGGCAGGGGAGGGAGGGGGAGGGGATGGTTACAACTTACAAGTACAGCTGGCAGCAGGGCCGGTGCCTGTTTTCATCTCATTCAAACGTGCTGGTGCCCCAACTATGCTGCAAGCTAACTTAGAGGAAGTGGTGCCATTTCAGAAAATGTTTATTCGATGTTCGTCCGAAGCTGTCCAAGCCAGCCATTTGTCCAGATGTCCGCAAACTACGCAATAATGTGCACTCAACACTCAGTTATTTAAATTGCCTTTAAGGTACTTTTATCAGCCCAAAAGTGTTCAGCGTATCGAGAGCTGAGCTTTCTATTCGTCTATCTATGTTATAAGGGATTACCTCATAAAATGCTCAGGTGTAATAAGGGATTGTCCAATGCTGTCCGAAGCCGGCTGCCTTTGTCCAGCCAAATTCTGAATTGAACATTGGACAAAGTCGGAATTCCGGAAGGTCAAGTTCCGATTGACAGCGGTACTTTTTACTTAGTAAATGGAGAAAGTAAGAAAATGGATTTGCTCAAGAAACTATCGCTCGGGCAATTATCAGTTAAGTTTCATTGTTAGCTGTTTTGAAGTAACTCACATTATGCACACTCACGGTTATAGCGCTGTAACATTTCACTGTCATATCACGCACCGCGCTCCGCCCCCAGACGTCCATACGGTATGTTCGAAACCACTCAGCGTGTGCTCTCTCCGCCACCTCCTGCCGAAGCATTTAGTGGATGGGTCATCAACGCATGATTACCTCCGACGCCAGGATGGTAACATACCATTTCCCGCTTACGAGAGACCATTTCTCCATCATTGTGGTTTGGGACACACGGCACCCCCATGTGGGGACCGCATTAAGACCTGTCGGGTAGCTCCTGCAGAAGTAAGGTCTTACTTGTAGACCGCTCAGTCCAAACCTCATCCTGAAGACCAGAGGAGCTGAATGTGAGTTTTAGGTATAGTGTGCACTTTGAACATAAATACGGTGTGTGAACACACCACAGAATAGTATCATTCGTTAGTATGTCTTGATGTCCTACCAAAAACGGACATGAGATCCGAAGAAATTATATTACAACTACAGTTAAGCAATAAGGGGGTCCAGTTTTGCCCCTGCACTACAGAGCCATCTGTTATCAACGGTTAGGACTAACGCTTCGCTAGCCTGACAGTATTTCACTCAGAAATGATAATTACCTCAATATAAAGTTCTTCTTTTTCCGATGTTACCTGGTATTTAACTCCACGCTTATGTGGTGCTCGAATGAACTCTTCCACTGGATTTTTCCTGAATAACTCGCTTGAATAGAAGCGGATCATTTACACCGGCACCGTCAAAGATTTTGAATTGGGAGACCGGAGAGGCCCGCGGGGGGGGGGATAATTCATTGTTGGTGTTAATCAAACCTTGCCTTTCTGCAGTCGTTACTCGCTTTACTTTGAAATATCATTTGGCGTGCAATGGTGCGAGGAACGCGACGGTGAAAGTTTTTATCCTAGGTGGGTAGGTATAAGGGGCAGCTTAACCCGCGACCTGGTGGGGGGGGGCTATTTTTTGCCCCCCCCCCCCTCCAGACTTTTCGATATATCTCCAGAACCGCTGCGCCGATCGTCACCAAACTTTCAGTACCCTCCCGGACATCAATTTTACATATGGTGACCAAAAATTTTTCCAAAGGCTATGATAGGTTGGCCGGAAATGACGTCAGAGTGACGTCATGTTCTGCCGTTTTCGACCCAAAAAAGGGTTTCGCGGGAAGAGCTGTCAGGCCTATAGCTTTGCAAATACAGAAAAATGATAAGGACATAAAAGCTGTAGAATTGACAGGGCTACAAAACTGCTATCTCGGATTTTTGAAATTTTTGGATTTTGACCCCCAAAAATCAAAAAATATTTTTTTTTTGATATAATGATCGAAAAATCCAAAAAGTTTTTTGAATTTCGCAAAAAACCGGAATATATGTGATAGTCCTTACCGCCTTCCATCCACATACCAAATTTGAGATTGATATCTCTTTTTTTGGCGAAGTTATAGCGAAAAAACTGTTCAAAATTGATGACGTCAAATTTTCAAACTCAATTTTTAGCAATTCTAGACCCCGTAGCGCAAAACAAAGACCACCATTAGACTCCCCGTGACGAGCTGCATCGAATCAATACCCATTTTATGCAAAAATATCAACTTTAAAATTTGACCTTTTTTTGGCCTGACCTGGACCTGACCTTGACCTGAACTTCATCAGAAAGTGACCTAAACCGTACCTGATAATCTTATAACCAACACCATTGAGTTGGAAATGAAAAATTGGCCATAAAACATGCATCACACAACCTTAGTAAAGTTGGGCTCATGTGACCTGACCTGTGACCCTTGGTGACCTGACCTGTGACGTGACCTGGCATTGTCAGTGACCTCTAATAGCAACATATCTACTAGGCAACTGACGCCCTATCGCTGATTCTCGACAAAATGCGTTTTCCTCGGTGTTATAGCGCATTGCCTAGAAGACCCGTGAACGGTGAAACATTTCATCTTTGACCTGACCTGTGACGTCATCGGTGACCCCGAGGTCAATGAAATTTGGTTTCCCGCGACAAATTTGACAGGCCTTTCGTACGCCGTTTGAATTTTGCGGATCCGTCCAGTAGTTTCGGAGATACGAGGGGGGGGGCAAAAAATAGCCCCCCCCCCCCACCAGGTCGCGTTATAAACAGACCCCACCAGGGCGCGGGTTAAGGGCCTTAATCCTAGGTGTGAAAACGTATTTAGATACGTATTTAAAATCTTATTAAACAAACGATTAATAAATTTAAAAGAAAATGTCTTGACAATTTTTGACAATATGATTTGACAATTTGATTTGATTTGGCTGTCTTGACAAACGACACGTCTGTCAAGACAGCCTCAGATTCAGATTCACATTCAGAACCACATTCGGACCCCAATAGATTTTCATAAGTATTGGCTAATTTGTAGTTTGTGACGTTGATTACGAAGGTGAAGTCTGTTTTTCGCCACATACTACACTTTGGCCCCTAGAGGCATTTAAAGTGTTTTGGGTACCTAACTGTACCCCCTCCTGGGACCCCTTGACTACGCCACTGTTTAGTGTTTCATATGCGTCATGTCAGGTATTTTGGGCTTGCCCCCCCCCCCCCCAACTTGAAAATCGCTCCTGGGCCCCTGTTTGGGTAAGATCAAAACAAAACAAAACACAAAATTTATCCACAATAGTTAGTCAATAGTCACGTGATTGCTAAGGAGTGTCACAGATTGGTCAGATTTGTGACCGTTACTCAAAACATGCGATCTACCTGTTAGTTCCAGCTGCCTCTAGGGCCGAGCAGAGTACCTGTTAGTTCCAGCTGCCTCTAGGGCCGAGCAGAGTACCTGTTAGTTCCAGCTGCCTCTGGGGCCGAGCAGAGTACCTGTTAGTTCCAGCTGCCTCTAGGGCCGAGCAGAGTACCTGTTAGTTCCAGCTGCCTCTGGGGCCGAGCAGAGTACCTGTTAGTTCCAGCTGCCTCTAGGGCCGAGCAGAGTACCTGTTAGTTCCAGCTGCCTCTAGGGCCGAGCAGAGTACCTGTTAGTTCCAGCTGCCTCTAGGGCCGAGCAGAGTACCTGTTAGTTCCAGCTGCCTCTAGGGCCGAGCAGAGTACCTGTTAGTTCCAGCTGCCTCTGGGGCCGAGCAGAGTACCTGTTAGTTCCAGCTGCCTCTAGGGCCGAGCAGAGTACCTGTTAGTTCCAGCTGCCTCTGGGGCCGAGCAGAGTACCTGTTAGTTCCAGCTGCCTCTAGGGCCGAGCAGAGTACCTGTTAGTTCCAGCTGCCTCTAGGGCCGAGCAGAGTACCTGTTAGTTCCAGCTGCCTCTAGGGCCGAGCAGAGTACCTGTTAGTTCCAGCTGCCTCTAGGGCCGAGCAGAGTACCTGTTAGTTCCAGCTGCCTCTGGGGCCGAGCAGAGTCTCCTGTTAGTTCCAGCTGCCTCTAGGGCCGAGCAGAGTACCTGGTAGTTCCAGCTGCCTCTAGGGCCGAGCAGAGTACCTGGTAGTTCCAGCTGCCTCTGGGGCCGAGCAGAGTCTCCTGTTAGTTCCAGCTGCCTCTAGGGCCGAGCAGAGTACCTGGTAGTTCCAGCTGCCTCTGGGGCCGAGCAGAGTACCTGTTAGTTCCAGCTGCCTCTAGGGCCGAGCAGAGTACCTGGTAGTTCCAGCTGCCTCTAGGGCCGAGCAGAGTACCTGTTAGTTCCAGCTGCCTCTAGGGCCGAGCAGAGTCTCCTGTTAGTTCCAGCTGCCTCTAGGGCCGAGCAGAGTCTCCTGTTAGTTCCAGCTGCCTCTAGGGCCGAGCAGAGTACCTGTTAGTTCCAGCTGCCTCTAGGGCCGAGCAGAGTACCTGTTAGTTCCAGCTGCCTCTGGGGCCGAGCAGAGTCTCCTGTTAGTTCCAGCTGCCTCTAGGGCCGAGCAGAGTCTCCTGTTAGTTCCAGCTGCCTCTAGGGCCAAGCAGAGTACCTGTTAGTTCCAGCTGCCTCTGGGGCCGAGCAGAGTCTCCTGTTAGTTCCAGCTGCCTCTAGGGCCGAGCAGAGTCTCCTGTTAGTTCCAGCTGCCTCTAGGGCCGAGCAGAGTACCTGTTAGTTCCATCTGCCTCTGGGGCCGAGCAGAGTCTCCTGTTAGTTCCAGCTGCCTCTAGGGCCGAGCAGAGTACCTGTTAGTTCCAGCTGCCTCTGGGGCCGAGCAGAGTCTCCTGTTAGTTCCAGCTGCCTCTAGGGGCCGAGCAGAGTACCTGTTAGTTCCAGCTGCCTCTAGGGCCGAGCAGAGTCTCCTGTTAGTTCCAGCTGCCTCTAGGGCCGAGCAGAGTACCTGTTAGTTCCAGCTGCCTCTGGGGCCGAGCAGAGTACCTGTTAGTTCCAGCTGCCTCTAGGGCCGAGCAGAGTCTCCTGTTAGTTCCAGCTGCCTCTAGGGCCGAGCAGAGTACCTGTTAGTTCCAGCTGCCTCTAGGGCCGAGCAGAGTCTCCTGTTAGTTCCAGCTGCCTCTAGGGCCGAGCAGAGTCTCCTGATCTTCACCAGTCGGCAGGCACTAGCGAAACAAAGTTGAAAATGTTGCAATTAGGTACCTTCTCGGCTCGCCTTGCTAAAACCAACATGCACACATGCAAAGTTTCTCTGTGAAAATGAGTTGATAGGCAGGGCGTGAAATTCGCTGGCGATTCGGGGCGGGACAGGGTGACAAAGAACGTTTGCCAGCGAGTAGCCCTCCCCTCCCTTCCCCCAGCTACAGGTATATAGCATTGTGCTAGCGGGGATGCAAAATTGAAAAGCACGTGTATGTTATAGGAATGGTCGGAGGTTGAAGGGCAGAAGATATGAAAGTGTGCAATGTCATCATCATAAGGGATATTGATAATATAGTTATCTATGAAAAAGCTAGCATGGAATCCCTCCTTAGAGCTCAGTGGAGTTATTTGGGAGCCGGCGCCCGACGCCCTCGTGAGATGTGTGGCACTTGAACGGCACTTGAACCTGTCGCAGACATTTCACCAGGGTTGGGAAACACCCAAACAGGCCCCGAAGTTTCGCGTCACGCTTTGACCGAAAAATTTGGTGTCAGCATACACAGTTGGGCCGCAGTATGACGCTGTGATATGTAGTTCGTCCGCAGTCTGACGCTGCTCTGTGTTCCCAGTTGGGCCGCAGTATGATGACGCTGCTCTGTGTTCCCAGTTGGGCTGCAGTATGATGACGCTGCTCTGTGTTCCCAGTTCGGCCGCAGTATGATGACGCTGCTCTGCACGGTCCGGTACGCGGACGTCAGTGCCCCAAACAACATGGAATGGGACGCAGTGGACATCGTGCCCAACGTCTTCAGAAACTGGTGCGTCACTCAATCAGTCAGTCAGTCAGTCAGTCAGTCAGTCAGTCACTTGGTGAGCAGCGGGTCACGTTTGCAGTTCTATTTGGGGGGGGGGGGTGCGTATCGGCCGGTACCGAGGCCGTCTGACCGGTGCCCCCTGCTCTCTGCGCTGTGACCGCCGACTACTGACCGCTGCCCCCTGCCATGTGACCGCCGACTACTGACCGGTGCCCCCTGCGCTGTGACCGCCGACTACTGACCGGTGCCCCCTGCGCTGTGACCGCCGACTACTGCCCCCTGCCCCCTGCGCTGTGACCGCCGACTACTGACCGCTGCCCCCTGCGCTGTGACCGCCGACTACTGCCCCCTGCCCCCTGCGCTGTGACCGCCGACTACTGCCCCCTGCCCCCTGCGCTGTGACCGCCGACTACTGACCGCTGCCCCCTGCGCTGTGACCGCCGACTACTGCCCGCTGCCCCCTGCGCTGTGACTGCCGACCACTGACCGCTGCCCCCTGCGCTGTGACCGCCGACTACTGCCCGCTGCCCCCTGCGCTGTGACCGCCGACTACTGACCGCTGCCCCCTGCGCTGTGACCGCCGACTATTTATTTATTTATTTATTTCACATCATCAGGCATTTCCACACAAAATGGGCTACTCCAATACCCTCGTCATACAATGTAACACCGCACGGTATAAATTTTTTTTTTTATAAAAACACACACACATCTTCATGAGAACAAAATCGCGGACACTTAAAATAAACTAACTAGTCACGAAAAAAAATCACGATGCATCAGCCAACATTTTGCGAATGTGGCGCTTAAAAGAAGTCATGCTAAGGTGGTTCACATGATGATCTATGGCGAATGTGTTATACAATTTGGATGCACGATAGATGAATGTACGTTTTCCATGGTTGTTGCGGGGGCGAGTGGTTGAAATATGATCCGACTGCCGTGTTCTTCGAGAGATTGATTCATGATTAAACAACAGTGCTTCACGCAATCCTATTGGTACGTCCAGCGATAAAATTTTATGAATCATGCACATGTCAAAATAGTCAACTAGCTTTGGAACAGTGAGCCAACCTAAGTCTGAAATGACATCCGAAACATGGTCGTATTTCCGTCGACCGGAAATAACCCGTGCTGCGAAGTTGACTATTTTTTGTAGTTCGGTCAGTACATTTTTGCCACAGCTACCATACACCTGCGCACAGTATCGAATGTGAGAAAGTACAAGAGAATCGACGATACGAGGTAGAACAGAAGCCGGTAGAGTATGTTTAACGTGCGAGATTCCAATGAGAATGCCAAAACATTTGTTAACAACATGTTGCACGTGGCGCTCCCATGACAGGTTTGGGTCCATTATCACACCTAAGTTCCTCACGCTCTCGGTAGACATCACCACTTCACCCATGAATGACACTTTTGGAACTTCATCTAACTGGACTAATTGCCGTCTGTCACCGAAAACCATCAGTTCCGTTTTACTAGGATTAACCATCATACCGTTTTGCATAAACCAGTTACTCAAGATACCTAAAACGTCTTCCATAGCACACTGCATATCCCGAATTTTGTGTCTCGACCCGGTTAGTGCTAGCTGAGTATCATCCGCATACCTGATTAAAGTTACTCGGAAACCGTTCACAGAGGACGGAATGTGACATGCGATGTCATTGCTTAGAATATTAAACAATAAACTTCCTAACGTTGACCCCTGGAAGCATCCCACCGATATAGGTAAGGGTTCTGATAATTCGTCGCCGATCCTTACCCTCTGAGTATGTCCCTCGAGGTAGCTCTTGAACCACCCTGTCCTAATCTGTAAGAGACTCAATTTTTCAAGAATAGTACTATGATCGACCACATCAAAACACCGACTTAAATCTAAAAGAGCTAGCAATGAAATTTCCGAATTGTCCATACCTTTCAAAATTTCGTCAGTCATTGATACGAGTGCCGTTGCCGTGGAATGATTCGCCATAAAGCCATGCTGATCGATGGTGAATAAATGTTGCTGAGTCAGATAACTAGTCACCTGGGTGTGAACTACTTTTTCAATGATCTTACAAATGACACTCACAATGGTTATGGGTCTAAAATTCGCCGCTTCCGAGGGGTCATTTCTTTTGTGCAAGGGTAGCACCTCTGCCTTCTTCCATCCATCTGGTACAGTTCCGTCACTATGCTTGTATTTACTATGCGCAACAGGTATCTGCCTACTACTCCAAACTTAACTTCAAAATTTTGAGTGGCACATCTCCTTCATGCTGGAATTTT